GGGTCTCGAACCCGCAGGTCAGGCAATCCACTCACCTCAGCCTCCCAAAGGCACGGGATTACAGGCTGAGCCACCGAGCCCGGCTTGATGATTTTTAAAGTTAAGAAAACACCCACAGTTGGCTAGGTGTGGTGACTCAAGTCTGTAATCTCAGCACTTTGGGAGGCTGAGGCGAGAGGATTGCCTGAGCTCAGAGTTTCGAGACCAGTTTGGGCAACTTGGCAAGACCTCATCTCTGAAATAAATCAAAAAATTAGCCAGGCATAGTAGTGTGTGCCTGTAGTTCCAGCTACTTGGAAGACTGAGGCGGAAGGTCGAGGCTGTGGTGGCCGTGAGCATGCTGCTGCATTCCAGCCTGGGTGACAGAGACTCCGACTCAAAAAACAGAACAAAACACTCAGAATCGTGAGAAAACAGAATTCAGAAACTTCTGACAACATCCTTGCTGGGATGGGCTATGGTTTTGGTCCTTGTGGAAATCTGTGGAAGGAGCATGGGTGTTTTAAAGGAGGGGTATCGTCAGCCTTCCATTTGTATTCTGAACCTGAAGCCCTACATTTAGCAAACAGCTTGAGAGTGCTTTCTGGAAGAGACAGACTCCAGATCTGAATCAGAGATGGGAACCCATTTAACCACCCTCAGCTGGGCTCTCACCTGTAATCACAAATTCTGGGGTAACAGGGAGGAGGGCCCAAACCAAATACTAGCGAACTTTGTATTTAGGGCCTGGGTTTGAACCCTTAGTGACCCTCTGAGAACCCTCCAACACTTGTCTTTGTGCTTGATCATGGAAGACCACTTAAGCTTGAGGGTGCTGAGTATACAAGTCAAGGTTCTACTTTTGCAGTCCCAGGGATAGACTGCACAATAATTGGTGCTTAGCAGGGCCTAAGGAAATGCTGTTGGCTTGACAGTGATAAGCATTGTGTGCAATTTCACAATCATTTAGCTAGGCATGGTGGCTCATACCTGTAATCCCAGCACTTTGAGAGGCAGAGGCGAGAGGATTGCCCGAACCCAGGATTTCGAGACCAGCCTGGGCAACTTGGCAAGACCTCATCTCTACAATAAATAAATTTTTAAAAATTAGCTGGGCATGGTGGCACACACCTTACTTTCAGCTACTTGAAAGGCTGAGGTGGAAGGATCGCCTGAGCCCAGCAGGTCAAGGCTGCGGTGGCTATGAGTGTGCTACTGCACTCCAGCCTGGGTGACAGTGAGACTCCGACTCAAGTAATAATAACAATAAAATAAAGCATTATGGAAGGCTAGGTCTTAAATCTTTTCAGGGGAATGTAGACAATACTCATTTTCTAAATATCCATGTTTTTTATCTAGTCCAACCTGACTTCACTTTCTTCGGGAAGCATTTCTTGATCATTGCTTAATACTCGGCTCATTTTTATATAACTGGAGTTATTTATATTTGGATACTTTATGCAGATATTTGTGGGTAGTTTAATCATTTGTATTTACTTGTGTTTGCACTATTATCCCTGATCCACTCTAAGCTCCTTGAGACTGTGAATTTCTCTTTCATTTGTGACTTTCAAAATATTGGGCAGAAGTCACGCCACTGCACTCTAGCTTGGGTGACAGAGATAGAGCCTGTCCAAAATAAATAAAAATACACTGGATAGAAAGAAATATTTGGCCGGGCTCAGTGGCTCAGCCTGTAATCCCGCGCCTTTGGGAGGCTGAGGTGAGTGGATTGCCTGAGCCCGCGGGTTCGAGACCCGCCTGGGCAGGCAAGACCTCATCTCTACAATAAATCAAAAAATTAGCCGGGCATGATAGCACGCGCCTGTAGTTCCAGCTACTTGGAAGGCTGAGGTGGAAGGATCGCCAGAGCCCAGCAGGTCGAGGCTGCGGTGGCCGGGAGCG